AAAACAAAAACAAAAAAGCTTATTAATTAATTACAATCACAACAATAATTTACCTTGAGCTGGAGATAAAGCTTATCAAGATAGCAAAATTTCGCGACGAAATGAAAATCCAACCTCCAAATGATTGGCTACCTTCTTTGATTTTTTGCTCTCTCTATTTTCTATGAGAGACCGCCTCGTTTGAAACGCTAAAGGTAGACTGGAAATGGAGAAATCAAATGACGCATTGATGAGAGATTTGTTCATTTATAGACTCTTGAGTGATGAGGTTTGAATTTTATTTATTTATTTTTTATTTTTGAGTGAACAGAAATTACCGGCGTTAGATTTTGAATTTAAAAATAGGTCGTTGCCTGTGTGTGTGATTATTATAGTACTAATAGTAGTCCTATTTGAATGAGGCCTGCAACTATTATCCCATTATGAAATGACATTTTTGACCTTTCTTATTTTTCATATAATTTTTTATACAAATATATTCTTTTTTGGGCTAAACAAAGGAAATTAATTCTTGATTGAAAATTCTTATTTCTTACGAAGCTATAAATCTTTTATTTCATTAATTGTCTAGAATTGTTTTCCTGTGAATTATCAATTAATTGTGTTTGATTGATATAATTTTCTACCTATAAAATGTTGAAATTTTGGATCATTTGGTGTTCGTTTAATTTTGTTTTCCATGAAAATTGTTCATTAAAGAAAATTTTTTAAGAATTGGATATAAAATTTGATTACATTGTAAAAAATAAAATAATAATAATAATAAAAAAAACCCGAAACCACATTGTCTACAATACCAAGTCCAATTTAATCAATATAAAAAAAAGGTAGTTTACCTACAAACATGGCACCTCTAATTTTATTACACAAGTTGATTAATGCTAATTCCCTTAATTGGAAGTATTTGAGCTAAAAATATGCAAATTTTACCAAAAATGTAATAAAGTAATATTTTATATCATTTTCAGTATGACAATCATTCTGCAAAGATAAGTATTTAAAACGTCCTCATAAGGACATGTTTGGTACATAGTATTGAACACAATTCAACTTGAATGAAATTTTACTTACCTTTTCAGTATAACACTATTACGTAATCTTGTCCAATACAATTTACAGAATATTTCAAAAATGAATTGAGTGACAATCTTTATTGTTATTGTATATTAATTTAATATGCTGAAATGTCTCAATTGAGATCCCCCGAAATGTGCAAAAGCTGGAAAAGTTAAAGAGTGGTATGTAAACATTGCAAAAGGACCCCCCGAAAGCAGCATTACGTGAGATTATAATATACAATCAGCCATTGATAATCAATTTTCCACATAAGACGAATAATGTACAAAATTATTCCCGTAAAAGGGACCCCACAAAATTTCTAGGAGTGAAATCGAGCGTATACGGTACTACAAAAAGTAGCTAGGCTTCGAAGAACGTCCCTAGAAATGGAGCAATGAGCCGTGTAAAAAGGTCGAACACAAAAATCGCACTATTGGACAAGGAAAACTGTAACTATGTGTAATGAGTAATGTTATTTAACACTACTAGTACGTAACAACACATTCAACAGGTGCAACACTAAAATTCCCATGTCTTTGTCACACCACTTGGATTTGCGACCGTCCCTCTATAGTCTTTGTCTCTCTATCTTGTGCGAAGTAAGTAATTAAAAATTAATTAATTTTAATTTTACTTTTATCTATTTTTACATTTTTTAAGTTGGTTGATGTTTTTATGATTATTACTATTTGTTGCCATTAAAAAAAATTAATTTCTTCAATAAATATCTTCCAATATCACTTAATTAGGCTTACTAATGAAAGTATTATTATTCAGAAATCAAAACCAATGATTTAATTAATTCAAATCTTGCTATTTAATGTGCTATTTGAAACTTTGCAATATGGAGTTTGAGATGACCTATGTGAAAAGTTTAAACTTTGTTGATTCGTCGACTAAAAGAAGTTGTATTCGACTTTTTGAATTTATCTAAAGATATTCCTTTTGGAAACACATGACGTTATAAACCGTCGTAGTAGCTATCAAAGTAGCCAATAAACTGTAACCTATGACTCACACTCAAACCAATATGAAGGTGGATTGGCCAAACTCATTGACAAGTCCAGGAGTTAGCATTTGCTTGATAAAACATGCTAACAAAATAAAATTGAAGTTGAACTCTCTATGACGTGTTGGTGTTGCACATGACAAAGTGAACGTTTGGATATGAAAGCCTTGTAATAAAGATTGAAAAGAGCCCAGTTCGAATTCTCACATTTTTCTTCGGAGTTAATTTAATCAATGATTTACTGAACTGTATTATAGACTACTTTCTAATGAAAACTTAAATTTTACTTTGTTTTAGATTAATATTTGCTCACCTAATTTAAAAGGTTCATTGTTGCTCATCCATCACTCGTATATTTTCATCCGTCCATGTGGACAAAAATCAACACGACAGATAAAAAGGTTTACATAGCACTGATGGAATTAAAAAATAACAACATGAACAAAAACAAATACATGGCGCACAATCAAAAATGCCCATGCAATCGCATGGTGTCCACTGCAAACGCATGGGCCATTATTAGGGATAATTACATGATTGATCACTGAATTTTACGTAAGATTTTAAGCGGGTCGTTGAATTTCAAAACTTTCCTCGTTAATCACTCAAATTTATAAAATGTAATCTTATACTCACTTAGTAATTGATGTGATTACTTTTTGTAAAGTTTAGTGACTAATGAGAAAACTTTTGAAATTCTCGGTGATGAATGAGGTTACATTTTGTAAAGTTTAGTGATTAATTGAGAAACTTTTGAAATTCAGTGACCTCTTAGAAACATTATGCAAAGTTCATTGATTACTCAGATAATTTTATCAATCTTTATTTTTTTTTTAGTTTCTTTGATCATAGAGATTTTAGTAGACAACTTTATCGGTTACTCTCGAGATAAAAAACTATTCTTTTTTTCTAAGTTTGGCAAATATTAGAGAGAATAAAATTGTGGAGTAGGAGCCAAAAATTAAAAAAAAAGACTCAAACACACATAAATATTAGTTTATTACCCGATTAGTCACTGAACTTTGCGTAAGATATTCAGAGAATCAGTGAATTTCAAAAGTTTTGCCATTAGTCATTGGACTTTACTAAATGTAATCCCGCCCATCATTGAGTGGTATATGTGATTATCTATTGTAAAGTTTAGTAACTATTGTGAAATTTTTTTAAGTTCTCAGTGATAGATGTGATTATATTTTGTAAAGTTCGGTAACTATATTTTAAAAATCTTTTACAAAGTTCAATGACAAATAAAGTAATCACCCCGCAATTTATGTTACTGAAGTTCACAATTATTGTCCTCACTGTTATTTTTTTCCAATTTCCATCGGTGCCACAAAGGATTTTCATTGTCATTAATTTTTGTCCAGGTGGAAGGATGAAAATAATATGAATGATGAATGGAAAACTTTGTTCAAATGTGAGAGAGCAGTCAAAACTTTATAATTTTGGTGAGCAAATATTAATACATGACAACTAGTAATTTTTTAATTTTGGACGACCTAGTAGGAATCTATAGCAAATTTCAGTTACCGTCGATTAAATTCACTCTTTTTCTCTCCTCTTTTGAGTTATTTTCTTCTTCTTTCTATACTCGAATGCAAATTTAGTGATAATCTTTGTTACTGGAAGGTTTGGACTATCATTGGAGAACCGTAGGTTTTTATGAGGGATTATAGAATTGAAACTAGACGGCCAAACCTCAACCTGATCGAGTATTGCGTTGCCCCTGCCCGCTGCCTGCGATCTCCAAGCTCCAACCGGTTACTGGACGGTAATTGCACCAGTCACCACCGGAAACTTTCTGTGGATTGGATATTTCTAACACACATTCAGTTAGTCTCTTCTCTCACTTTTGCTGATTTTCTTTTTAAAGTATTTCTACGTTTCTCAAATTGTTTTTTTGGCTATTTGTGGATGGGAAGTCTGGTGTGATTAGTCTGAGCTTATTTTGGGGATGGCCGAATTTTGGGCTGCAATTGTATTTAAATTTACCAATTTATCTCAAGATGCACGATTCGAAGTGGCCATTGTCTATCACAGTGAAAATTCTGATGTAGTTGCAAGTAATGATTTTTCCTCCTTGCATCTGCATATATTTATTTATGGATTTGGTGTTTTGTCAATAAAAGTTTTAGGCATCGCATTTTTCTGCAATATTAAAACATGTGATTTCAAGTTTGAAACACGTGATGAACACGATTTTCCCGATGTATAATTAAATGAACTAGTTATATATCTTATTTCCCTCATCTTGTGGTTTTTCTTCATAATATTGCCTTATTAATGATTCCCGTTGAACAATAGCTAATAATTGCAAATGTGGTGTGTAGTATGAGTATCGTGTTTAGGTAGCACCAAAATAATTATCTCTTTGTGCTAAAAAATAAATACTCCTTATGATTTGCAAGTTAAAATGATGGTTACTCATTTGGTAGCATTTTTAGCTTCAGAATTCTCTACTATGTTTTATGGAGTTAATGGGTTTATGGAATAAGAGATAGAACTAAGACCGAATCCAAGATTTTGACTTGTCAGACATTAAGGATGGAGAGGCAGTATGGATTTACAAATAAATTTCCGATTTGATTAGTTTTGTATCTAATAGGGGTAACTTGTAATTTTAGTACTGTAATTGAATTAGTTTTTCTTTTAGTGATTAGTTTTATATCTAATAGCGGTAACTCGTAATTTGATTACTATAATTGGATTAGTTTCTTTACAACCTGATTTCTAAACTTAATTGAAGGCAAGTCACTTATTATTATATGGAAGTGGCATTTATAAGTTGTTTTGATATTTCTGTAAATGGAAGAACTATAAAAGATGATGATAGTTTGATGCATTTTGCATGCGTTCAGGTCAGGGAGTAGAGGAGTCTGGTTAGTTTCTTCCAATGACCGCACCTGGAGCTAGAAACATAGGGCTACCACTGATGAATCTTGTAAGACTAAAGGGAGTACCAATTTTACAGCAATTACATCTTGAGGAGAGACTGCTTCGAAAGTCATCAGATAACTGGTGCATCATCAATGATGGAACACATGACCCAACTATTGTCATGGGTATATCAGGGTCTGTAAGTTGTGTTTAAAATTGAAATTCCTTTTTGTTGCTATACTCTTGCTTCTTTTTCCATTTGTGCAATAGTGCTTGATCCAATTGTCGCTTGAAGATAGAAAACTCGCAAAAATTGAGATAGAAAATTCAGTTAGCTGGTGGTTAATAGAAATGTTTTAATGCTTCAAGGTTCCTTAAATTTATGAATGCTATTACTAAGAATTTCATCCTATGAATAGGAGTAAATATTTGAAAGGTAGAAACCACTTGTATAATTAACTAAATAATGTGTCAAATGCTATGTGTTCCAATATTGGCTATTTACATCATGTTAGGAATTGATTTATTCATTATGCTCCTTCATGGCCCTTGCTTCTTTACGAAACCAAGCTCAGCCTTCAGTAGCCGAGACATGGTCTACTGAATTTGGATTTGTATATTATACAGTCCATGTAGTCTACTGTCATGTATTGGTTCATTCAATTATATCAGTATGATGTTGTTTGAGATGTTTATTGACACTGATAAGGATTATGATTATTAAGCTTGATATATCTTTATGACTTACTAGTATATTGTTACTTGTTTGAGGTTTTGTTAGTTTGATTGTGCACTTAAATCTCTTGTTTCTAAGACAATCAATTCAGGCTTTTAGGCTTAGCAGAGCCCAGGGGATCTGGTTTTGACAAATGTTGTCATGATTATACCATCATGACATTGATCATTTGCAAGTTATGGATCTGTCAATGTATACTAACGGGATGAAATTGATGCATGATACATGTTTTTTAATAGGAAACCTGTGGAACTTCTTGAAATTGACCCTGTTTTACAAGATGAACTTCCTGTTATCCAAAGGTTTACTGGAGGAGGTACTGTTATTGTTGATCAGGGGACAGTGTTTGTCACATTTATATGCAATAAGGATGCAGTTCCAGGTTTACAATCATATCCTCGACCCATCATGTCATGGAGCAGCCTAGTGTATCAAAAAGTATTTCAAGGAATTGGGGATTTTAGCCTTCGTGAGAATGGTGCGTGTAGCAACCATGTAGCCTCTAATGGTTTTTCTAATATATTAGTTGTGAATGGTGCTTTAAAAGGGTACTGCATTAAATGATGAAATTAGTGCAAGATTAGAAGCACATCTTTTTTTTTTTTTTTTTCTCTTTTCAAATGGAAAGTTCTACCTTTGTCTTTTAAATATGTTTCTTCATTGCTCTTTTGTGGGGGGTGATTGATTTTTTTTATCATCAAATCACATGTTTACTGATTTATGTTATTTCTTTAGATACTTTCTTTCCTTTTTCCTTTTTTTTTTTTTGGATTCTCAGCATTGCTATCCAGTATACATTGCATCATGCAATTATTTAGCCCTTGTTTGGACTCCATTTTAATTTAATGCACGTTTCTCTTTCTTCATTTTCAACTACACATTCTTCAACAAAATAATATAACACGTAAACTCAAAACTTTTCTTTACTTTTTAATCACACATTCTCCAAAAAATTAATATTCCAAAATACATTTTTCCCAAAATTTCATTAAATGGAGCCCAAACAAGGGCTTAAGGCACTTTCTTCTTCTTCTTCTTCTTCTTCTTCCATTTTTTAATATTTATTCTTCATCATTCGTAGAATGAAAACAAGGAAAGGTCTTTTCATATTTAAATTCCATTCTGACTCTCTACCAAATTAACTGGTAATATATGTTCATCAATTTCTGTTGATAATGATTTTTCTCACCTTGTATATCTGTTAAACTGATGAGTAGATTGGACAGATTCATTTTTTATGCAATAAGTTATTAGTCAGCGGCTAGTCCTTATTACTTCGAGAATGTTTTCTGAATCTTTAATATCACATAACGTGCTTCTCTATGGCCTAATATCATATTTGCTTTTATATTAATTCCCCTCTATTTTATTTTATAGCTTTTTTGTGCTTACAGTTTATTTCCTACTATCTTTTTCAGATTATGTGCTTGGCAACCACAAGTTTGGTGGGAATGCTCAATCCATTATTAAAAATAGGTGGCTCCACCATACATCATTTTTATGGGATTATGAGATCAGTAACATGAGATATCTCAAACTTCCGAAGCGCACTCCTGAGTATCGACAGGTGTGCTTGTTATTTCCTTGAATATTTGTCATTTGCCCTCGATAGCTTTTCTTTTATCGTAAGTTTTCAATTTCGATAGTTTAACCAAATCTTAACCAACTTTTATGATGAATTAGCTCTTGATTTCCTTGGTTATATTGTCTTAAATTGTTACATTTTTCTTCTCGCACTATGTTTCCTGAAGGGTCTAATTTCATTTAAATGATAGCCAGTGTCTACCAGGGTCATGAGATAAGAGATACACATTTTTCTTGTATATGTAAGCGGCATCTGTTAGAGACACGAAGGAAGGGATCTTCTCAATTTAGTGCACTGAGAAATTTGACTTCTTTTGTGAGAAATAATTTTACTTATATTCATATGCACTATTTTTATAACCTCCATGAGGAAATATTGGAATAGAAGTTTTTCTTGAGTGTATCATTATGGAGAAACCATTAACTTCCTGATGCAAAAACCATGGAATGAGAATCTGAACTGTAAATAGAACCCTTGTTATGTTTACATTACACTGGTTAAACTTGAAATTTACACTGTGTGTGTACATGCTGCTGGAGTACTGTAACATACACTTTACCTGATAGGGGTTCATTAGATTGGCTAGAATCCATAGAATAGCATCTCATATTGGATAATTACTAAGCTGATTGTTTGCATTCTGTATGTGCTGCTGCGGATGAGTATCATTCTTGAATGAAAAATTGACTTTAAAATGAAAGCCCTTCGGATGATCTCTAATCTCTGTCCATATCAAATTTTAGGACTTCCAAGTCTCATGACTGATATGTTATGACATGTTGTATGTTTGTTGGTTGAAATCTATTCTTGATTTCATAATAAACACAGTAATAGATGTATTGTCATGGACATACAATGCCGGATACTGATTTTAATGCTGCCCAACTGGTTTTGGCCTATATTCATAAGCAATCTTGAGTCTTGACTGCTATAGATGCTTAAAGAATTTTATCTGTGTATAGCTCCCTCTTTTTTAGGAAGTTTTTGACCTTACCTTTTCGTTTTGTCTAGGCAAGGGGCCACTTGGAATTCATATGCCGCATGAAGGATTATATACCAAGGTCAAATTTTATCGACAGGACAATTGATGCAGTTGGCAACCATTTTCTAGTGAGATCAATGGAGCTAGAAGCGATTAAGTATCCCTCAGGTACAAAATTCCAACCCTCCAGTAGATTGCTGAGAAAGCAAGAATTGGAGGAGGCCGAATTTGATTCTCGGACAGGTATTGCACTTTCCCAGTCATTACCATTGTGAATTGGTAATTTATGGAAAAGCGAGCGTCTTTTGATCCCAAGTTTTATCTACAAGCCAGTTTCTACCAGTTGCTGTTCGGTTTTGAGATTGCATCTCAAAAAGATAAATACGCTGTAACTTCTGCAAACATCTGAAGATGTATCGAATAATTTTAGATTACAATAAATATCTAATCATTTGTTTTCTTTTCAAAATTCAGGTTCCAAATGAAAGCTGAATGCTTATTGTTTCTTTTTACTGTAATTGATATTAAATCCAGTATAATATGAAGGGTTAATTGAGGGTTTTTTTTTTTTTTTTGTATTCCTGCTTTATTTTTTGCATACTGATTGGGACGATTTTTGGGCCAATATAGGTGTTTTCATTAATGGTTTGCTCAGGAGTTTAGATTTATGTTCGCTAGTCAATCGAGAATATGGGATATATAACTTCAGCAATTTTGGACATGGATGGAATGAATAATGCTATGTAGTACTACTTGCTATATCAACGGTCCAGGTAACTTGCAAGCTATAGATCATCTTAAATATGACATTTGTTTTTAAGGTGATCTATCAATTAATAACACTTGTATAATAATTAGACTGGTGTTTAGCACCATTAGTGCTAAATAACATTATTTGGTGGAATATATGATACGGCCATTTCTTACGAATGGATTGCCACATAAACATTTTTTTTCTTTGAGTTAGTGATTTATAGTTTGTTTGGAAAGGGTTTAATTTATAAATACTTTTAATCAAATCACTTTCTATTCACGCATTTTATGCAACCCATAACTACTATCTATCGGCACTCATTTTTATCTTGCAGATTTTTCGGGTTTTTTACTATGTGAATTTAAGCTCCTATTTGATAGCCATTATTTTTGAGAAAATAGAGTTTGAATAGTGATATTTTGGAGAATGTGTAATTAAAAAGTCGGGAAGTGTTTTGTATGTATGTGCAAAATATTTTATTGTGTAAATGTATGGTTGAAAATGAGTATGAGAATTAAAGAGTGTTTAAATAATGGTTGTCAAATAGCGGCCAAGTTAAATTGTATAAATATGAGCTTCAAGTCGGAGTTTTTATTAAAACAAAATCCACCTTTTCCTGTATGCTTATCTTTGTATTTGTATGATTAAGTGATAATGGAAAGGTGCCCTCCCTCTCAGCTTCCATTCAACGAGGTCCATTGATTGAACATCTCCATCATTTTCTATCCAGTATAAGATTCTGAATGGAACTGGAATATAAAGTGAATGCATTTCAACTATTTTCTTGAATTATCGCTTTCCTCCCTGCTTTCTTTTTTCTGTGGGGTGTGGGGTAGGGTGGAGGTTGATATCTATTTCTTTTCAAGAATTGAAGTCAACCCATTCAAGAATAAATTTTATAGGCTCGTGCCATGGTTGTATCTACTAATATATACAGTGGTAGCACTCAAGTGGGAAATGGGAATGCCATCTCTTCCCTGAAAGATAAAAAATTATAAAGAAACAAGGGTTGAAATCAGACAAATATCTTCTGATGTCTGCAGAAACACACAACTTTAGTTACTCAAGAATACTGGCTAAATCATTAATGGAATGGACTTTTATATTTGATTCTTTTAAATATGGGATCTCAAACTTTGCAGGTGAATATCGATTCAGACGCTTTGTCCATGTAATCTTGCTTTTGTCTCAGGGTGCTGACAAGAAAATTTAGTGCAAAATTTCTTCAAGTTCTTAAAAGGCTTTTAACTCTTATTTTTGGACCATTATTTGTGCAGAACTTTACCGTGAATGACATGTTTAGCACATTAGATATCACATCGGTATTGAATAACGAATTAAAATTTTATTGATAGCACTCTGTTTAGCACTATATAGAAGGTAGTGTTTGATGTGACTTTGGTGCTGCGGCTCAATAATTCACATTTTATCAACTTGGTATAGTAATTAATGAATATCTAAATAGAAAAGAAAATTTTATATACAATCATATATACAGTTTGAGCACTAATTTCTAAAGGGCCTAAACTGATATTGCCCCAATTCAAAATCAAAAAAGAGAAAAAAAAAGAAAAAAAAAGGATAATAGATAAGTTCCATAATCCAGAATCAGCTAAATATATACCTAAGTTTGATGATTTCTTACCAAACCTTCTTGTTGTAGAGGTGCAATCCTTATAAGAACTTCATGTGGTGGTGGGATTACTGGTGTCAACGTACTAGTCTGGTTGCATCCTACTATTTTCTGACAAGTTTCAATTAGACAGTGCCTGCAAGTAGGGCAAGAGGAGTGTGAATTCAGCCATTTATCGATGCACCGGACATGGAACCCGTGGTTACACTTGGGCAGGACTCGAACGCGTTCTCCTATGGTGAAATCTGAGATGCAGATTGCACACCCAGTGTCCAAACCTGGGAGGTTAAGATCACTGGTGTAACTTATTATAGGAAATGTTTTGAGGGCCTTTTTCTTTATTCCTGTATTGGCTAGGCGCGCAGCAGGGGTGTCATCAGAAGGCACAAAACTCGAGCACCTTAGTGCACACCTTATAATGGAATTCAATCCAAGTGAGCAAATTAAGGCACACAAGAGGACTGATAGGACCATTACAACATTTGCGTCAAACGTGTTATCACTATGTTCTGTACTTGATGGGGCAACTGCTGTTGCAGTTGATGCTGGAGGTGAACTATAAAGAGGAGTTTGGAGTAACAATCTTCTTGAATGGAAATTTTTCAAGAATTCTTGAATGATGATAGATGAATGAGAGTAAATAGAAGGGGCAGCAGCCATTTTCTTATTTCGTAGAGTGTTTTGAATTTTGTTGATGTAGATTGGGAATATATAGATGGAAAAAGTCAGTGGGGTGATCAACTATCTGGAGTATTAAATGCCCAAAAACTGTATTTTCCAACTACTCTTGATAGCATGAGAATATTCTTAGTTTGTAGCCTTCTTAAGGTTTTTTTTCTAAATTTGATTAAATATTTGATACTCCACTAGGCGTTCCAATCTAACATGGGCCCGACCCACTTTCTTGCTGTTAATTTTTTAAACTTGAAAATGCCAGGGTGGACATTTGAGGGTATTCAATTCCAGGTTCCAATTTTTATTCAGTAAACCTAAACAAGATGAAGAAATAAAGGTCGTGTCTCTCTAAAATCATACGTAAGTGTTGTCGAGTTATGAAGTTACAACATAGTACTTATGTTATGAAAGGCTGGAAACGAGAGATCTAAGACAAAACAACGACCGTCTAATTCAATCACGAAAGTTCTAGTTAATTGTATTAGTATGCAAAAATTAGTACGAATGTACGATACGAATCCATACTCTGAATTCAATAAATTGGCCAAACACTACAAAATGGGGTTTCATGCTCTAGTAGGACGATGAGCTACTAGCATTACAAAAGTGTGTCACACATTTGAGACAAAACAATTGACAACACTTTATATACTTTGCGAATCTATTGAACGTTTGTCTATTAAAATAAAACTCCATCTAGCCATTCATTTTAGGTAACAAAAAAATGCAATTCACTAATCGAAATTATTTTGAATTTCATCACAACTACAATAACTAACTAGACCATTTGAGTCGAATTACTATGACGGCATAAACTATTCAACGACTAGTATTACGAATTTTCATCGATTTTTGAGTTCACAATATATTGAAACAAAACTTTAAGGGTCCGTTTGGTTGGAAATGTGGAAAATGGGTGGAAAGAAAATTAATTCCAGGGAATTGTAATTCATTGTGTTTGATTGATATAATTTTTCACTTGGAAAATGTTGAAAGTTTGGTATCTGTTTGACTTCGTTTTTATGAAAATTATCCATTAAATTGATAATTTTTTCTACCACTGAATTTAGAATTTGTTCCAATTACCAAAGAAAAAAAAAAACAAAATTTTTTTTGAAAAAACAAAAAATTACCATACCGAATATAATTTGTTTGACTCTGTTTTACATGAAAATTGTCAATAAAAGTGATAAATTTTTTTACCATTGTGTCTAGATTTTTTTCAATTACCAAAAAAAAAAAAAAAAAGAAAGATGGAAAATATAAAACCACCAAAACAACAAGAAAAGCTTTTCCTTAAAAACGTGGAAAGAAAGCGCGTGAGGCACCAGAGTGGAAAAGATTTTCTTGGGAAAAGTTTTGTCATCAAACATGTGAAAAGTTAGAAAATGGAAAAGTTTTCCCTTTTTCCCTGGAATTTCAGGCATATCAAACGCAGCATAAGAGTCCGTTTAATGGGCAAATGTGAAAAAGACTTTCAATTCCATGTTAGTTGGAAAATAAAAACTCACGAAACCCATAAGAATTCTTTTCCGTGAAAACAAAGAAAATGCAACTTATAGTGGTTGTACCTTAGAATTCGATTTTCATTTTCACGTTGCAATCAAACGGTCAAAGTGGAATTCGTTTTTCTCGAATGTGACATTTTTCATGAAATTCGTTACAATTAAATAGAATCTAACTGAATTTCGATGTCATCAAAATTGTTTTTTTTTTCTTTTTTGGTACACTGTGTGCATCAAATCTATGTCCGTAAGAATCCAGGACGTTGCCTGTTTTGCAGTAAAACCGCATTAATGAAGATACGTGTTTAGCAATCTAAGTTAAATATCTTCTAAAAAATTATCTGATACCACAAAAAATCAGCTGCTGTCTAGTTGCTGCCTTAAAAGGTTGAGAATGTTCTTCCCTCAAAAATAACATGTAATTATAGTACTTCGCTTGATATTATATGTATACATACATCTACAAAAAGTTCTCTCAGGTTGCTAAAGGATGTCATGAATTCGTCTTAATCGCTTATTTTATCACCTTTTTAATCATTAATTGCTCGACCAATTCTATCTTGTCCTCTAATTAGGCAAAGCGCTATAAATATCGGGCAAGTTGCCTAACAAAAAGCTACGTGTCCATATATTTTTATTGTAGTTGAGATTTGAATGATACGTCTTAAGTTTTTTTTTTTTTTTCAAACCGAAAAATATCAGAATCACAAGTAATAATATATGAATATGGGTGTGTGGGGTGGGGTGGGGTGGGGTGGGGAAAGGG